TGCAAAGAATGCTTATGGGCCGATAATTACAAACATTATTTTTGCTACCTTTTTTATGTACCGGAGTAATTCTGGAAATTTTCCAGGCAGTAGGAAAAATACATGTTTTCAAAATTAAATCAAAAATATGTTTCAACGGAGTGGCCAAAATTAGTGCACAGTCTCTGACAAGAAACGAAGGAATAAGGTCAGTACCCATTGACATATTGGGCTTAAGCTTTTTTAGGGCTTTAATAACTTCATCTTGAGATACAGAATTAAAGTGAAGCAGAGGTAAACTAATGGTAGATTCGTGGATGAAGTGATTTATTTGAGTTGGCTTGGAGAAATTGCTTGAAAAGTGATCTGCAAAAGCTTGAACAATTGCCTGTGGATCTTCTATACAGTCATTATTATATTCAACAGTAGTGGGTATGGAATAGGAAGAATTTTTAGAATTTATGAATGACCAAAATTGTTTTGGATCATTTTTAATATTATTTTCAATTGACCTTAAATATGAGGAGTGAGCTATAGAAATGTCTAGTTTAATTTGGTCTCGAAGGTTTTTAAATTTAGTAAATGCATCTATGGAATAAGCGGATTTGTAGGTTTTTCGGGCTTTTTCTTTTTCACGAATCATGTGTATTATACGACCATTAAACCAAGGAGGGTAGGTCCTAAGGTTAGGTTTTTTAGCAGGTATATACTTATTAAAAATAATATACAATTTATTGTTTAAAAGTTGAACACTTTCATCAACGCTGCTTGCAGAATCAAGAAAACTCCAATTGATATTGAGTAGTGCGTTGTATAATTTTGGAAAATCTGCTTTATTGTAATTATATTGCACGTGGTCTGGTTTACACTGTAAGCTCTTAACTCTAATTTTAATGGGGACATCAATACACAAAGAGGGGTGATATTCATGTTCATCTAAGACTACTTCATCGGCTTTATATACGTGACATGCTGAATTGGAAAAAACTAAGTCAAGCAGACGATGATATGTATTTTCTATCAAATTGAATTGATTTAAGTTAAAAAAATTCGCAAATGATTGTACAACGTTCAATCTAGGCGAGCAGCTAGAATTGTTTATTTGAGAAATATACTCTGGCACATTGAAATCTCCTAGTACTAGAAGATGATTATCATAAAGAATATTAAGTAATGATATAGCCTCGAACACAGCCTCATAGTCATCAGCAGAACAAGCTGGCGGTATGTATATGAGTAAAATAAAGGTACACTGATAGTGAGGTTTAATTTTACAAGAATAAAATCAATTTTGTTTATTGGAATAGAGCTACAAACATCAGACGTATCAATCAGAACTGCATTTAATTCTTTTTTAAGGGCACAAAGAACTCCTCCCCCCCTTGAAGTTTGTGTTAACTCGTAATCTCGATCGACCCTATAAACATCAAACACTGCAAGATCAAATAGCTCAGCATTATTTATGGTACTGTTACACCAATTTTCTGTAAAGAAGTAGCCCGCATACTGTGTAGCAGCAGAAACATTGTTAAATAGACGAGTTGTTTTTGTTCTTAACCCTCTAACATTTTGGTAATACAGTTGAAGACTAATTTGTGAACAATTATCAGAGCCAGATACGGAAACCTTCAATGGTTGCTACTGTGACGGTAACGGTACAATTTTATTTTTAAACATTGTCAGAGCTCGTTTATAGTAATGGCAATCTTTATCCCATGCTACATGATTGACAGAGGTATTTATATTATGATTTGCTACTAGATAAGTACAATTAATGCATTTATTGGTATTAGATTTACAGTCTTTGAGCTCGTGATTAAGAGAACATTTAGGACAGGTTGGTTCAGCTTTAGTACATTGGCTTGCTAAATGATGTAAACCCCAACACTTATAACACCTGCGTGGTTCAACAGCACAATAAACAGGACAATCAAAATCGAAACCAACAGTGAGCTTACCGAGTTTCATAGCCTTATGATAGGTGGCCGTGTCAACTTGTACGACAGCTTGGAAAAATTTACTGTTTCTTTTATGCGGTTTTGTATATATAATTTCAATGGTAGAGTTTTCGTTAAAGCAGCTTCTGTTTTGGGATTTAAGATAGTCCAGTAGAATAGGATCATCAAATTTTTCGGACATGTTCGTGACTTTAATGCGCGGATGTAAAGAAGAAATAGACTTCATCTCGTATTTGTCGCCCAAATTGGTGTTGATAATCTGCTGGAATCTGGATGAATCGTCTTTGTTAATAATAATAATAACGGGTCTTTATTTGCACAAAATAATATTTTTGTACAGTTAGCATGGGCGAGGTTTAGCCTGTGGCTATTCTTAGACTAAACCTCGCCCATATGGGTGTATATTATCGTCTGTTTCTATTTCCGACATTTTATATTGTTGTATTCGGTACGGAAGCGTTATCTTGTGTCGGGATATTTAGCAGGGACGTTGAGACGTAGGCGTCGGAATTTAGAGTGGCGTGACAGAGAGAGAGAGCGTCGTGACGCAGAACGCCAAACGTAGAAAGGTAGAGAAGTAAGGACGTAGGGTGTCAAATGGGATATTGAGCGTCGGATGGAAGGCGTCGGATAAATGAGATGACGTCGAGACGTGGGAACGTTCAGGAGGTAGGTCGCCGGGCTGAAGAGCGTTGGATATAGGCAGGATATGAAATGCGTGGGTTTGAAGAATAATACAACTGGAGCTCGCAATCAACTGAACTGAGTTTGATTTCTTAATGCCTTTCGAATCCCCTTAAATCGGATCTTTATACTAGATTTAATTACTTTTTATGACGTCAGTTTCTCGTGTGAACGAATTTGGGTGGATAGGGGGTGGCTGATTTATTACTTGCCTTGAAAAGTTTGTGTATCGAAAACAACGTTCCTATTCAAAACTGACTTAAGATAAGTACGTTAAGTGTTTCAATGAGTATTACTTCGTGACAACTTATGTTGTATTGTGGTTTTAGATCGGGTTTCCAGACACTTGTAAGATGGGCAGGGTTATATTATTTATTAGGTGTCGTAAATAAAATTTAATTATCTGGGAGATTTTTCGTTAAATGAAGGATTTTGAAAATAATAAGATTGCAACTATTCTTTAATAAAATGGAATTAATAAATTATTAAGGTACCTGGGTGCGGTAGGTTACAATTCAAAGGCTGAAAATTTGATTTTTGCTAAATCGATTCTGATTAATGAGCACTTGCGAGGCAATAAGGCCACTCTCAAACGACCATATATGTTGATCCTGCCATGTCATTACCCACGGGCAGCATTTTGACAGGTCGTTGGAATACCTAATAGTTTTCCAATTCCATTTTAAAACACTTATATCTAAGGGCGTTGCGACGTAGCCTTCCATCTTAGATGCTATTTTTATTAGAAATAGTAGTCGCCAAGAATGCCAATTTATCAAAAATCTAAGTGGTTTTTTAAAAATAATATTTTTATTGTTTATTGTATATTTAAATTTAATCAATTTTACATGATTTCACATGTTGTAGATAGAATACATCGTATGTCGCAACACCTTAGATATACCAATCTTTCCCTACAAGGGCAATTTGGTTTGGAATGGCTAATATTATTTTTTAGTCAAAATTAGCAGAACGTTCCGTCAAAAAATGATCTAATTTCATTATCACGTATTGCTCATGTGGCACCCTTTATAATAAAGAAATCATATTCCATGCCAAAAATAATAATCTTCTGCAAAAATCTGGCCCCAATGTATGAACAGATTGCGAAATTATTACTGAAAAAACAAGAATTTCTTCAAATTTGATACCTTGTAATATTTAATTTTGTATTTTATCAAATAAAGTTGAATCACATCGTAATATTTCGGACCATGACGTTATGGGCCATGAATTACGGACCTCTCTGTATTTATTTGATATGGGGTAATAACATATGGCTACTGGCAAAATACGCTAAATTATTGATGACGTAATTATGGTTCCACTGACAATTACAGTGACAGCATTTTTTTTTAATGCGTTTTGCTGGTTTTGTTTATCTAAATTATATTGTTTTTAAACTTTTATAAATATATTTCTTGCGTAAGTAGACAGCCAAGTATTATGTATACAGGGTGTATCTAAATAACACCGAAACAATTTAAGGGGTGATTCTGTGATGAAAATTATGGTGGATATTTGGTATAAAAATTTTTGAAAAGACCCTCCCCGGAAATGTTAGACACCGCCGAAGATTAAAAAAAATTACATACGTTTAAACTACTTTTTATGACCTTCAAACGATATTTTTTAATAAAAAAAAGAAAAAGGGTAAAAACGTATATATCAAATATTGTTAAAAGTTTGGTTAGAATTAACTGTCAGTGGAACCAAGATTACGTCACTCTTTTATGGCGTATTGTAACGCACCACGATAATACATCAGAGATGGTTTCGAAATGGACCAACAATTACAGACCTCACGTCAATTGAAAAAATTTTAAATATTTTTTGTATTAATTTAAAATGCATATTTATCGTGTACCTATGTAAAACATTAAAAATTGCCCGCCACTAGAAAACATTTCTTCCTGTCCCGCAAAATCTACAAATTTTGGAGCGGTGACAGATGTCAGCATTTTATTACGAATTTCTGAAATACGCTAATTTAGGGATGATGTAATTTTGGTTCCACTGTCAATTGAAGTGACAGTAGACTTTTTGAGTGTGTTTTGTTAGTTTTGTTTACCTTAATTATATCGTTTTTAACTTTATAAATATATTCCTAAAGTAAGCTGATAACGTGGATCAAATATACAATCATTTAGTTACCATTACATACCTTTAAACTATTTTTTTATGACCTGCAAACATTATTTAGAAAAAAAACGTATATGTCAAATTGAATGTTTTTGTTAAAAGTTTGCTTAGAAGTTAATTGTCAGTGGAAACAAAATGACGTGACACTAATATGGCGTATTTTTCATCTATTTATAATTAACGTAACTGCTTATATAATATAAATATTATCTAAATTATTTTTTATTCTTTTTTCAGGGGACCTCTATCAAAGACAACCATTACTGCCTAACCCGAATAAAGGAGATAAATGGGGACATAGTGCACATAGTACTTCGGCAAACGAATACTACAATGAAGATGAAGATATCATACAAAAATGTAGTGAGAGAAATGGACATATTTCAATAGATTTACCACCTCCCGTAAGAGAGGAACCAAGATTTCCACAAGAAAGATGTAAAACGCTGCTAGGTAAGTTTATATCACTTGTATAGTATATTGCATTGCAGTACGAAATGTAATATTTTTACCAAACACAAAACACATGAGAAACATCTGACAAATGAAATTCCATCTAGGTTTGTTTTTTATTTCCCTTCAATAATTTCTAAACTAATCGATTCCATTAACAAACACTTTCATAGACACAAATTGTTTAGATAATTTTTACCTCAATTTGTTGTTTTTTCTTTTAGCTGCAATTATTATGTTCTTCAATTTCGTTTTAACCCTTACTTCACTCAGTTTGGTGCATGAACGTGTGCCAGACAAAGAGGTTTACGGACCTCTTCCTGATGTGTTCCTGGACAATGTACCTGCTTACGACTGGGCTTTAGATGTATCAGAATATATTATTATATTTTGTGTAAATACTAGTATGTTTGCTATGGTTTTTCATAAACATAGGTAAGTTAATAGTTTAATAGTACTGTTTATTAATTTGCAGATATAAACAGTGTGACTATTTTAAATTAAAGAAACATAACCGCTGCATAACTTTCTTCTCCATATTACCCACTCTATGGATCAACCAATCATATAGAGTCTTCCTTTCATCACTCCAGGTGCCATTAAACATTTTATTTTATTTTAATTTGACAAACATAAAAAAGTAGAGATTATTGTGTAACATTGAGGACCGGTTGCACGTCTTCCTCTTAGGAGAACACCTGGCATTTAAATTTCACATTTGGTTCTCTGACCACAACATAAATGCTTGAGTAGTAGCAAAACTAAGACGAAGCCAAGGTCGCATTAAGTTCTACTTTACGTTAATTTAACTTCAAACTGACCGCTTTTTTTTATTCAATAATGCTAATGACCATGTATTTTTTTATTTTTAATTCCTCTACAGATTTATTAAAGTACATTATTGAAAGCGTTGATTCCAATTGTATAATTCGGAGCACGTTTTTTTTCATTTTTTTATTTTGTTTTTTTTTTTTGGACACAATCCATCTTGAAGGTATTTGGTCTCTTTACCTCTTAAGTCTGCCCATGTAAAAATATGTTGGCCATCTTCTCCTTAATCCTGCCCATATAAGAATTTTACTCCTTACGTCTGCCGATGTAATAATATTTGACTCATTTATACCATTAGCCTGTACATCTAAAATAAAGTGGTCCCTTTATCCCTTAAGCCAGTCCATGTAAAAATAGTTGAACCCTTTATATCTTAAGCATGTCTATCTAAAAATATTTGGACCCTTTACCCCATAAGTCGGTCCACCTAAATATATTTGAACTTTCTATACCCTACGTCTACCCATGTAAAAGTATTTAAATAAGTTTTTATTTAAGCTTCAATAGAACGACATGAAGTACAAAATTGAAATATAATCAAGTCATGAAACAAACAGCTTACAGTTAAATGTTTAAAAACAAAATAAACAATATTAACTAATAATTCAGTATCAAATAGGCCCACTTGTACTCGTAAAAGTTCTGCTGTTATTTTTGGCATACTGTCAACCAATTTGTAATAAACTCTTGAGGAATAGCTTTCCAGACTTTCCTAACTGCAATTGCCAATTCTTCTAAATTTTGCAATTCTTACTCTCTTTGGTTTAGTTTTAGCTTTATTCTGCTCCACATGTGTTACATTCATATCCGGCAACCTAGCATTCGCTCGATACCATTCTCTCTCAGAAATTCTTGTGACCTATCCTAACGCCATTAATACTTTGTCCAATCAAAACTACCAACCCAGTTTTGCCATTCGTCATACAGTCACACTTCCTCCTTCAAATGGCATTCTAGCTTCAATATACCGCCCATTCCTTTCTCTTCGAAACTAACATTGGCCCATCCGATTCATATAGTGCAAAGCGACATTAGTCAGTAAACATGCAACATCTCCATTCTGGTATTCCCCAATTCATATCCTTCAAAGAAACTCGGTGGACAGGCTGAAGAGACGGACATGCAGCAGGTATTCTGGCATTTAAAACTCGCTCATGCAAACGGTCTCTAATGGTAGTAGTCGACTCTATCGTTCCCGTTGTCTCTCTAGGGGTCATATATATTTTGCAACCGCATTACCCAACTTTTCTATATAGAGGAGTACCATGATTTTGGCTTCTTTCTATCGTCCTTAGAACTGGGTAGCTTGATTTCCCCGCCAAGTTAGCAATATCTTGTTAACTCATTCCTCGTTGACGCAGTCTGTTTAACACTTTCACTGGCTAAAACGAGGCTCCCGCGTTTGCCTGAATCAAATTCATGTGCCCACAATGCGGCTACCATGTTCGGAATATATTGGATACAATTCTAATTAAAAATTGTTGGATATTTTTACAGCTGTGCTATAAAAGTAAACCTATTTTCGTCAAAAAAGTAAAGAAAGTTAAACTACATATATGTATTAAAGTTGAAGGTAATCTCACAGAATTTTGTGAGAACTTAAGGACCTAGTTGTATTTCTTTCCCTTTACATACGCATTTTTAAAAACAAAAGTACATTGGACACAACACATGCGCAGACTTTAAAAAAATGTGGACCTTTTGAAAATACCCTGCAACTTTTTTTCTGAACAAAAAAATACCAAACTTCCAAATACGTGCCGATATATCGACCAAATCTTCTAAATGTGATTACGAATTACCATGAAAGTTCAGGAATAAATATTGCAACAGGTGCAGACAGTTGAAGTTTTACATTTTTACATTGTATTCTTTCACACCCTGTATTACATTGAAAAATAAGTTTTACTGGAGATCAGATCAAGCTATTGATAAAAAAAAAAAAAGAGGACTTAAGAATCTTCTTCATTTTTAATAATCGGCTAAGGCGTTTCCGTGATACAGTCTCCTACAAATGACAATAAAATTAGCTTTACCGACTAATTCCGTGAGCATTTTACATTCAAATCGTGACATCCAGGACCCGTGTCGAGGGCATAAAATAAGCTCCATAACAAAATGTATTACATGTTAAAAACATATTTAAAGCACTAAACCTAAATCGAATATTATGAAAATCAATAGGATTCTCGTCTTGAAGAAATTGTTTAGTAAAATTATTAATTATCGCATTTATTTTTAGTAATTTCATTTTCATTTTATCCTGCCTGTCTGATTCCCCCAGTTATCTGGCCGAAATAATAGTATATATTAGCTTATTCTGTCCATATATTTTTCAGCAGTTTGTTCTATCTCCTGTTTCTTTAATCTAAGATGATCACACATGGTTATCATTAACTATAATCAATATTTAACCGTATTTTTTATTTCAGATTTATTGTGTTTAGAAGAATATTTTTGTTAATGTCATTGTTATACATGTACCGAGCCATTACCATGTATGTAACCGTATTGCCTCTATCAAATAGAAATTACCCATGTTCACCAAAATCTAATGAAACCTCGCCACTAATGATAGTCAAGAGAGTTGCGAAACTAATGTCTGGTATGGGCCTGTCTGTGAACGGTCAACATGTATATTGCGGAGATTTTATTTATAGCGGACATACAGTTGTTCTAACATTTACTTATCTTCTTATAGCTGAATGTAAGTATAAAAATTTTTATATTCTTTTTTTGATAAAAACAAAATACATAATATATATGAGTATATGATTAAAGATAGAGACATTTTACAACGTGAGCAACAACAGATTATTTATTTATGGAAATATTTTTAAATATAAGTCTCTTTTTATTACATTATACTGTTGCCTGTGTGTGTGGAAGGGGAAAGAACCTCATATTACTTTATCTTCAAAAGGGGCCACACAACGTCTTTGATCTACAACTACAAAGCATTTTAATAAAATTTACCAAAGAGATATGACTGAAAATAGTACCTGAACTGAAATCAAGGCGATACAATAGATCCAAGAGGCTGCAGTGTTCTGGGTTTTATCTAACTAACCCTACCTGAAAGTACACACTAGAAAATTGTATAAAAAAATCTGATGTGTCCTGTCTAGTTATTACAGGCTTTTCCGATTATTTTGTACCACCTATTGTATAACCTCTTTAAATGTTTATAGAGAATAATATTTCAAGAAACTTTTATTTGAAAAGTGTTCTTCTTTAAGATAACATATATTCCATAAAGCATAAAAGCGACCTCCTATAAAATACCCCTACAGATGTTCCGATTGTGCCCAAAATCTAATCAGTTTACGGCAGGATGGATTAAAGCTTAAGTTTAAAATGTAGTATTTTTCTCTGTATCTTTTCATGAGTTATCGAGTATATACAAGCGCACCCGCGAAAAATAGTCAAAACGGATTCAGGGGACCCCAAAACGTAAAAATCCATCGAAAACGAGATCGAAAAAAAAATCTATTCCGAGGTTACCGAAATAATTAAAAAACGATTTTTCGCCACCATCTTTAGTATTATGAAATTATCAATTTTTTTTATGTTTACTGCTGCACGACCTCGTTTAATCCAAAACAAATTAACACTTGTGATAAACTGTATTTTATAAACAAAAAAATTGTTTAAATTCTTTAAAAACCATTAACATTACTATTTGTTGTGTTAATTCAAGATGTATTATTTAAATATTTAAGTAATTAGTATAATAGTTTTCAAACACTTTTGGTGATATCGTCTCCTGACAAATTTGTAAATTAAAAGTAGAATGTTCAGATGAATTTCATATTTGATTACGTTTTTTAAATAACATGTAATAAATCAATAATTAATCTTTTAACTCTGCCAAGTTTAAAAAGATATGCAAAAATAATATGTTTATCTAAAGAGATATCAATATTAAAACAATGCCTCAAGTTAAAATTAAGCCAAATATTGCTATTTACTAGCAGAAGAACTACAGGATCAAACTAACGTAAATGTCATAAGAAGACACACTAGGATTCTCAATCATTTTGAAACTTCCGGTTAGCTTTGTATTATAATTAACTTGCGAATTTTACTGCACAAAATACCCCTAGTTTTTCAATTTTGTTTTGTTTAGTTTTTAGACGGTGGTTTTTGAAATATTTTTATTTTTTATACTAATTAGGTAGGTCTTAATGTTTAATTTGTTTTTGTTTCAATCCCTTTCGCACCAGCTATCTTGGCAAAAAGAACTGTTTATATAGCAGATTTCAATATTTTGTGTTTACATTTAACAATTTGAATAATGAATAATTTGAAAATTCAGAAACAAATCTTAAAAATCCCTTACGAATTATTAAGTCCATCCCCGAATCCCAAAGATGAAAACAAATACTATATGTGAAAAAAAGCTGTCGCAACCGGGGATCGAACCCGGACATCCATGTTTGCAAGACATGCGCCCTATCATCTAGACTAGACCATCAACGACATTGACTGTCGCGATTCCTGGGCAGAAGTTTGATGTGCTAGTTCTTACCAGACGACGTTCAAGCTCGTTCTCAAATTTTCAAATATCTTTCTACAGCATCGGTATATATGAGAAATGCATTTATGCATACTAATCCAATGTCTTCGCCTGCGTGAGTTAAGTTTTCAATATACGTTAAGAGAGAGACGTCTGGCCAGAATTAGCACATCAAAATTCTGTCTAGACCAGGCCTGCACGACTGATAGCGTTTTCGATTCCACTACCCTGTCTGCGGGGAGTGCACATAAAAGATGAGCGATATATCAATACCGTTTACTTTTTAGAGTGAAAAGTAACTGGTAACTACATATCTCCCAGTGCAAGCTGAGCACTGGAATCGAAAACGCTATGAGATTTTCAAAGGGCCAGTTCATAAGAACTGTAGGTATACGAGGGCCAAAAACGGATGTATTTTTTTTTTTTGCGGCGGTTGTGGTGGAGGGGTGTATGCGACGGATTTTCGCTGGTGCAATGCTCAAATACGTTGATCTTCAGGCTCAAAAAATTAATTAATAGTTTATTTTCAAAAGTTGTTTTTTAAATAAAATAATCATTATTTATTAAGTTTTATTTTAAATACTTTCATCAAAGTTTTATTCAGTAAAGTGTTTTTTGTGTTATGTTGCATATATGATTTGATATCTTTTAAATAAATTAATGGATATTAACTCTACACCTGCGGCAGCGAGACTGCACAGGGCCCTGGCAAAAGGGAGAGTTGATACAGTTATGGCATTAAAGAAACCAAATGGAAGCTTCATGGAGAGTGAGGAGGAAAGAACTCGCCTCTTACTCGAAACTCGCTTTCAGGCCCCCAAGAGAGGCCGCTGTAGTGGCCAAACACATATGCAGCAGAAATCGGTTAAAGTGGGCCTTAAACACTTTTGAACCGTTTAAGTCTCCAGGTGTGGATGGAATATTTCCTGCCCTGCTTCAGCAGGCACAGGAGGAATTACTACCATACATAATCCGGCTATCCCGGAGCAGTCTGGAGCTGGGGTATATACCAGAAGCATGGAGAAGGGCCAGAGTCACCTTTATTCCAAAAGTAGGGAAAAAGGATACCACACATCCTAAATCCTTCCGACCAACCAGCCTCACATCCTTTGTATTAAAAACAATGGAGAAGGCTGTTGATAATTATATCAGAACGAAAGTCCTGGAGAGGGTGCCACTCCACAAGAGCCATCACGCGTACCGAGCAGGAAGATCTACAGAAACTTCCCTGGTACAGTTGACTGACGTATTCCAGGATGCACTGACAAACAAAGAAACGGTCGTGTGTGCCTTCCTAGACATAGAAGGAGCTTTTGACAATACGCCACACGAATCTGTAAAAAGAGCACTTACATACAGAGGAGTAGATAACATCACATCCAGATGGATGGCTCAGCTGTTAGCTACGAGAACTGCAGAGACACAGATAGGGCAGGACACCATCTCCATCGGCACAACCAGAGGATGTCCACAAGGAGTTCTATCCCCACTAATGTGGACCCTAATCGTAGACGAACTTCTATGCAGATTGACTGACCTCGGCATACCATGTCAAGGTTATGCCGACGACATAGTCATATTTGCTAGTGGCAAGTTTAGTAATATCCTGTCTGATATAGTCCAACGAGGACTAGAACATACCAAAAGATGGTGCCATGAAGTATAAACCCTACAAAAACAACACTAGTAGCCTTTTCAAGGAAAAGAAAACTTAATCTCAAAACCGTTAAATTAGACGGTATAGATATAGAATGGAAAAATGAAGTCAAATATCTAGGCCTAACTCTGGACAACCATCTTCTCTGGAACATACATGAGAAGGAAGTAGTAAATAAGGCCACAAAGGCCCTAATGGTATGCAGAAACATTGCAGGCAATTGATGGGGATGTAACCCAAACATACTGCGATGAATGTATACTGCAATAGTGAGACCAATCATCACTTACGGGACTATAGCCTGGAGTAACAGAACTAGTTTAGCTACTACGAGAGCTAATATTTCAAAAGTACAAAGACTAGCCTGTGTTTGCATTACTGGTGCAATGAGAACCTGTCCTACGGCCGCAATGGAGGTGATCTTAAACCTCACCCCTCTACATTTGATGATAGAGAATGTGGCAAAAAGGACACGATATAGAATGATCAGGAACTGAGTAATCAGACGAAAGTTTACTTGCTTCAGGACTAAAGATACCTGGGATATGCCCCAGGATGAAATGCTAAAGAAGTACAGTTTTGTGAAAAACTTCAAAACCACAGAGCTGGGCTGCAAGAAAGAATCCATCGCGCTTGCAACCGAAAGACGTGCTATTCAGTGGTATACAGACGGTTCCAAAACCATAGAAGGAACTGGAATAGGAGTGTATAGGCAACCAAGCACTCCGAAAGCTTGGGAAAATACCGAAGTATTTTCTAGGCGGAAATATACGCCATCGAGAAGTGTATCCAATTTAACATCGAGAGAAACTATCATAGACAAGAGATTATCATCATGTCCGATAGTTAAGCCGCCATCAAAGCGCTGAGCTCTTACGTAATCAGCTCAAAAATGGTCTGGAGATGCCTAGAACAATAATTGAATGAGCTAGGCGAAAAAAATAGAGTTACTCTCACTTGGGTCCCGGAACATAACGTGGTACAGGGTAACGAGATTGCAGATAGTCTTGCAAGGAAAGGGGCTCAAACACCCTTTGTAGGACCTGAGCCATTCTGCGGTATCAGCAGTAACATAATTTTAGGCGAGATTAAAAAAGAATTGGGCAGTAGAAGAACCGATAATTGGAATAATCTCTTGGGGCTGAGACAGGCCAAGATACTTCTGGGTGAATATAACCAGAAAAGATCGGAAGCCTGCATCTGCCTGAGCAATAACAGGCTACGTATTGTAACAGGGATCCTTACCGGGCATTGCCGACTAAAAGGGTACCTAAGTAAACTGAGAGTAGTAGAGAATAGTGAGTGCAGATTCTGTGAGGAGGAGGACGAAACATCCATTCACATCCTGAATGTGTAGCACTCCAGAATCCAAGGGCACTATATCCAGGAGGATATCAAATAGAAGAGGGAGATTTACCTAACTTGAAGCCACTTCAAATCCTACACTTCCTTGAGGAAATAGGATTGGAAGGGTCGTTATAGGCATTGAGACATTTGCTTAGTGCATTGGCGATAGAAGGGGTCACCCCATTTTCAACATAACATAAGGCAATTAATAAATGCAATGTGTTACTGAAAAATGTATAGTTTGACGTAGGCGGGCCAAATTGGTAAAGGGACAAAGGGCCAAGAAAAGGACAATGGCGGGCCGTATGTTGTGCAGGCCTGGTCCAGAGGACATGCCTAGCAAACGGTTGTCCGGGTTCGGCCAGTTTTCCGCCGAAACTGAAATTACAGCCGAAGCTTTTATTTTAGGCCGAAATTGGCCGAAACCGCAACTGAAACCGGCCCTATGGTCGGGCACTAGTATTAACTGGTAAACAGTTTCAAATTGACAATATTTGAGAACCATAAAGATTTCACCTAAAATAACGTAGAATCGTACATATTTAATTTTTGACAAAAATAGACATACAATATTTGTCCTCTTAGCCATCGAAATGTATGTTTTTTGCTTTGAAATTTTTTGACTGGTTTGACAACATCTATTGCACTATCAGATTATTGGGTTCGGGACCTTCAGTTAAATATTATTCAGTTATTTTTGTGTTTATTTGTAATACTTGATATTTTTTGAGTTCTGACAAATAAATACACTTTTATCAGCAGCAATCGTTTTTTTTTAATAGAAACTTAAATTTTTGTTTTTTTATAGTGTTTTGGCTTTGTTGGTAACTCCATAATTACGTAATCGAAATAGTTATACATACCCACCTATACATATAAAAATACATGTTACAAAATAATCCACTACAGTTGTAGCAACGATTGCTACTTTGTAATTCACTTTTTTTTTAATTTCAAAATGCAATAAAAAATAAAACTATGTCAATATATAATTTTTTGTTTACAATTTTCTTAAAAATTCGAATTTTTCACATTTTGTAAAATTTCTCGAATACGGAACATTTTAGGAAAATTAAGTAAATGACAAAAATTATAGACAGTAACATTAAAAGCAAGTTTTATTTGAAAAATGTTCTTCTCCAATTGTAAATAACATATATTCCATAAAGTAGAAACACGACCCCCTATAAAGTACCCCCCAGATGTTCCGACTAGGCCCAAAATCAAATCAACTGCTCACCACAGAATGGATTAAAGCTTTAAAGTTTAAAATTTGGTGTTCTTCTCTGTATCCGTTCCTGAGATCCGTTGAAAACTTGAGGTCAAAAAATTCATGATTCGTATACTTTTCTTATCTGTATAGAGACAGGAAAGTAAAACTGCATTATTCACGCATCCATTTGGAGTAATCCTGAATGAACAGTTTCTAAACGTAAAATCCATTTGAATGCCGTCGAAACGTATTCATTCCATTTGGACTGGAATAAGGAGGGCCGTATCAGATATCCAGCATTCAATAATCTGGTGCTGGAGCAAGTTAATTATGTACTATATTATTTATTGATTTCAGTTTTTTTTTGTTTGGCTTTGTAATTTAATAAAAATATACCCCTGGTTAAATGGTTAAATTAATCAATAAGACGCACTTTATTCTTTATAGAATTCAATAAATGAATTAAAATGACAATTTATATTATTATTTTCAGATACTCCAAAGAAATTGTATTTAATACACTGGCTGTACTGGTTATTATCATGTTTAGGGGTGATTATGTTGGAACTGTCTCATGGACACTATAGCATAGATGTGATTATTGCCTATTTTATTACCACTAGGACTTTTTGGACTTACCACACGTTAGCAAACAACTCAAGTTTAAAGGTATGATAACTATTTATTCAACTAAATTATCTAGTAGCACTACAGAATATTTAAATGACATCGTACAATTATACTTTTTGTATTGATTGAAGTTTCTATGTTTAAGGATTTTCATATTAAAGATAACTACTGAAAAATCCTTTGTAAATACGGATGTTAATATTTAAGGACCAAATTTAGATTACATCAAATGTCGATTAGGAACTCAAGCGACCCGTTTCATTTTGGTTTTAATAAAGATGTAGCCAGAATTATGTATTGTGGATGTAGACAAAAGGAAGGAGGATAATACTCACCTAATTTTAAGACAAAAATTAAGTATAACATTTTTAGAATGTCGCTTCCTTTTCGATTATTTATTTTTGAGAATTTATAGTACTCATTACCTGGGTCTCTGCCAGTGAACTAATTGAAAAGTTTCAAATGGACACAAAGTAAAGAACTAAAACGCCTAAAACGCCAACTATCACTAATTAAGAATAAAAAGAAAACGCATCAAATTTTATTTTTTCAAGGCCCTGTATTTCGAAAACGAAGTGATATAAAAAATTGTATGCCACATTTTTGTCTTAAAATTAGATGAAAATTAGAGAAGTTAGGAAACATTCTATATGTATCTATACTTATTTTTCCATCGTGAAACATTTTTTCCTGTTCCAATTGATTCTTTCTGGTTTCTAATAATATCCTTGGAGCGAGATTATTTTGGAGGATGCACATTGGTTCCAAATTTCGAAAATGTCAAAACATGAAGGTATCCCATTTTGTACATTTTTGAAGTCACTAATTAAGAATGTAAAATAAAACATTATGGTAGATCCAATTTGGCGGACAAAAATAAATTATTTAGCTGATTAGGGATCAGAAATTAAAAATGTTAATAACAAAATAGCGGATTCAATATCTCGGACAAAAATGATAAAAATTATCATTTTTTAATGAAATTTTGATTATAGAGTGTAATAAGGTTTTTGATTAAGAATATAATCTAAAAAATGTTAAAACTAAAATGGCGGTTTTAATATAGTGGACAAAAAATTAAATGTCACATTTTCATAAAATTTCTGATACAGGGCTTTTTGAGGTGGATGATTAGGAATCTAAAAGTAAAAATTTGAATAACAAAATGGCATATCCAATATTAGGCATTCCAAACAAAATGGGCTGCCAGTTTGAAATGACCGTTCACTGACAGGCACATGATAGGTTATAATAAGGCAACACCCTGGGCCTGGTGGTTTGATAAGGTCAATGATATAGATAGTTATATAGATTGATCATCCATGTTTTTAAAAATAAACAAATAAATTTTTGCTTTGAAGTAAAAATGTGTGTATTTTTTTTAAAAACATTCAAAATCTGGAATTTGGTTTTAAAACATTTTCATGCTAAACTGATTCAAATTAATGAACACTTGCCAGGCAATATGGCCGCTCGAAAACGACCAGTTTTAAATAATCTTTACAACTATATAATGCAATGACAACATACCCACAGGGTTGCCACATTTAAACTGTCAGATCCCACTGGCAGCATTTTGAAAGGTCGTTCGAACGACCTGTCAAAATGTTTGCTTGTTGGTCAATTATATATAGTTATATAGATAGCTAAAAGCGGGTCATATAGCGAGCGGCCATATTGCCTTGCAAGTGCTCATTAATCAGAATCGATTTAGCAAAAAATATGTTTTTTTTTTGGTGTGTCATCGGCTTCAACTGCTAAGGTTATTTCGCCTCTTGTTCGGTGTAGACTTTGTTACTGTTTCCCAGCGCCACTTTAGGACCAGCACTGTTAATTAGAACCCAACAGTGAATGGTCGAGTGGGGAATCCTACCAAGGCATCAGAATTAATTTTAAATAATTAAATTAAATTAAAAAATTCCGGCCAACGGTGGGATTCGAACCTGGGACCCTTGGATCCACAGGCAGAGACTCTAACCACTGAGCCACCCACCCCAAAAATATGTTTTAAAACTAATTTTCACCGTTTGAATATAGTAAAAAAATAATTACCTACATTTTTTACTTCGAGGCATGAGCTTATGTTTATTTTAAAAAAACATGGATAATCAGTCTATGGTCCGTATTTATAAACAGAACTTGGTTGAGTCGTCCTTGAACGAAAATCGAAGTTCGGTTACAACTTCTCTAAAGTTCCAGGTGGTTCCGGCTGGAATTTATAGATGGATAGTACCAAATCTGTAACTATTAAGTACATTTACGAATTTGTTACTATTCATCTCTAAATTCACGCGGTATGACTGAATTTCGACTTAACCAAGTCCGACTCAGCTGAGTTCTGTTTATAAATACGGACCTATGTCACCTGGCCCTGTCAAAACTAGATAGTATCACATCCAGATGGATGGCTCAGCTGCTATCTACAAGAACTGCAGCTACAGAGATAGGGCAGGATATTATCTCCATCTGCATAATCAGATGATGTCCACAAGGAGGAGTTCTATATCCACTAATGTGGAGCCTAACTGAAAACGAATTTCTGTGCAGATTGACTGACCTCTGCATACCCTGTCAAGGTTATGCCAACGACATAGTCATATTTGCTAGAGGCGAGTTTGGAAATATTCTTTGTGATATAGTTTAAAGAGGACTAGAACACACCAAAAGATGGTGCCGTGAGGTGGAAGTATAAACCCCACGAAAACTACATTAGTGGCCTTTTCAAGGAAAAGAAAACTCAATCTCAAAACCGTTAAATTAGACAGGATAGGGGATAGTTATAAAATGGAAAAAAGAAGTCAAATATCTAGACCTAACCCTATACAACAAACTAAATAAAGCCACAAAAGCAAGAACAGGCTATGAATTATAACAAGGATCCTTACCGGACATTGTCGACTCAAAGGACACCTTAGTAAACTGAGAGTAGTAGAAAATAATGAGAGAAGATGGAGGAGGGCGAAACCTCCATTCACATTCAGACTGAATGTGTAGTACTCCAGAATACAAGAGCACTATACCTAGAAGCATATCAAATAGAATAGATTTATCTAACTTGAAGCCACTCAAAATACTACACTCCCTTAAGAAGATAGGATTGGAAGAGTTGTTATAGGCATCGAGATATTTCCTTGCTGCATTAGCGACAGAATGGAGCACAATAGATCTTTTAGGTCGCAGTGTATTAATACTCCATTTCCAACATAACATAACCCTGTCAAACTCGTTAGGTCAACAGACAACCATTTTGTTTGGAATGCCTAATAGCAAATGGATAGATACGCCATGAACATACAAAATTTTTATAAATGTATCACATTTTGTGTCGTTTTTATATCAATTTTATTAAAAAAAAAAAAATAAATAAATAAAATAGGTATAGCACTAAAATAAAGTCACATAGGCTCAATCAATTAATACTAGTTGGACACATATAGCGTAATTGTATTAGAATCATGAGGACAACATAATATTATTATTTATATAATAAACCGCCGCATAGCATCCTTTTAAACCCTTTAAATTTTAAAAATTTAAATTGGAATATAGATCTATCTCTCTGGATTGTCCTCTCTTGTTATTTCTACTCTTTGGTAAATGTTTAATGGTTGACCAATCAGAAATGCTCAGATATGTTTTAAAATAATGGTTGACCAATTAGAAATGCTATCGGCATAATGTCAAAATATTCCAACGTGCAATGCGAACCGACATATAGATTACACTTGCACATGATAATAAGACGTTGCCGTTTTGTATAGTTTTTGGCTTGTTTTTTTCGCAATCTTTGTCTAATCAATGGAAACATGACCGATTACGTTTATGACGCATTTGAATAAGATATAAGATACTATTCCCTAATTAGGCAAAAAATTTAAAAAAATTATTTTTTAATACCGTAATGAATCCGGGAAACATTTAAATTGAAAAATAATCGTATTAGTAGTTTCTCTCTAGTTTATGTAAAATGTAAAACAAAAAACCCATAGAAATAGGACAAAACCATGAGATAATAAATTTCCAACCAACCATTTACAACATTTCATCGCAACCCAAAATTTACCTAACCTGTGCGGCCTGGGGTAGTATTAGGAAAATAGTTTCAATTTTAATATTTTTCTGGTACCTGTTACACAGTAGTCTGTGAGGAGTATTATTGGTTTACTTTATCTGACCGTCAGTCCGATATCACGTTTTTTGTCCGCAAGATAAGTCAAAAACGAATATCAAATTTTTAGCAAAAATCAAGCTCTATAGGAAGATGAAGCCTATTAATTCTGAAATAAATTGAATAAATTGGGGGTTTAAGGGAGGGAGTTAGAATATTACAAAATAATCCTAACTCAAAAACGAAAAACGATATCAAATTGAAATCTTTAGGAAAAATAAGCTATATAAGGGGATGAAGCTTAATGATTCTTAAAAAAAATTGATTGAAAATGGGGGTTAAAGAGGTCTGTTAAACTGTGAAGAGTATAATATAGATTACCAAGTATTATATATCTTCATTCTATACTTTTTAAACTAGGAGGAGCGAATTAAAAAGAATCATTTACACAGGGAAAAGTAACTAGATTCGTTACTAAGAGCGTGTTCCGAAATATAGTCGTGTTCAAAATGTATGTAATAGTTGTTACTATCGGCACTAGTCGGCGAACAGCCAATCAGGGATTAAGAAACAAATAAATGTCATAGCAGTCGATTTTTTTATTGGTTCCAGACAACGGTCATACATTTCCCATTATTGTGATTTGAAAAGTGCGTCTAAAACGAATTGTCACTATCAAATGAAATTTAATATGGTCGTTGATTTGTTGACATCAGAAATATGTTTTTCTTGCTTTTGAAATCGACTTTTTATTACCTCTATGCGATGTTTTAAATGTGAATTAATAATTTTGTAAATGGTTTTATTGTCTAATAAATAAAATTTACTTGATTATTTAGTTACTTTTTAATCAGTTTGGTTAAAAATTTATCAAGTTTTACTTTTAAAAAATTAGTAATAAAGTTGTTACTTTTTTTCTGGAATACTTCGAAATTCATCTCTTCATGGTAATCTCTCGTATTTTTGCTTTCAAAACCAATAATGTATTTTCTACAAAATCCTCTACAGAATCAGCATGTAAAATAATAAGTCTTCTTCCCTTTCTTGTAGGGCTTTTCAGGAACTGCTTCCCTTTATAGTACTCGGTGGAGAAGAATCCATAATCGTAGAAATTCAATACAATTGCTTACTGAAGTTTTGAAAAGAACTATTATTTACGAAATAAAGTAAAAGCTAAGTAATAATGATGAGATATCAAAATATAAAACGTCAAAACATAGTCAGAACAGTCAACAATATCAATTACTATTAGCTGATGTTAATGCTAAAAAGTAATGCGTGAAACTGACTGCAATCTGACCAATCAGAAGTCTACAGAATTGCCAACTTAAATTCAAATCGCTCCTCCTAGTTTAAAAACAGAGTATAGTATTTTATAATAATGCTAGTTAATTATTAAAATATAAATATTTTATTAACACCTATTCTAATTCAAATTAAAAAAAAAATACCAATTTACCTAACCTGTACGGACTGGTGCCATCGCGCGTTGCTTTTAATTTGTATCGCCATTTTGTACCGACGCTTTTTTGTCCTAGCATATTTTCCGGCGCTGTTTTTTCAGGCTTTATTTTGTCCAGCGCCATTTTGTGACGGTGTTATTTTGTCGCGGCACTTTTTTGTCAGCGCTAATTTTACCGGCGCTGTTTTGCGACAGAGCCGTCAAATATAGTTGAAACATTTTTGGCAGATATTACAGTGCAATTTTTAAATTGAAACTGACTACTGATTTGATATTTTTCTTCTAAAATATTTGCAGGTATCAAGTGTATATAGATTTAAACAAGTGCACTTGAAGGTCAAATTGAAGAGCTTGTTATAAAAACGTGACAAGCCACACTTTTAAAAATAGAGGCATTTTTAATTCACGAATATAAAAAATAAGGTTATAAAAGCCTAAACCAAATAGAAATTCAAGAACAAATACAATTAGCAGAAAATCAAGTTATTGTCCTTTAACAAAGTTTATTGTAACCTTTGAAGACATGTTTCTTCAATAAATTAATGCTGTGGTTTGTTATGTTATAATAATCCCCTCAATTATAAATCTAGCTAGTGGTATAGTTCTCACCATCTATGTACAATGTATTGAAGACTTGTTTTATTACAAAACCGCTCGTGCAAGTACCGCGTGTTTAAGGACCTTTGATTACTTACCTATTCGTTATTTGGAACCACTGTGCGATGTAAAAGAAACTTGGCACATCCCTGTTTACAGAACAGACCTCCTTTATCTATTTTAATTTATAATTTTGTTTTCAGCAACATTCATCAAACAATCTGATCGGTCGCGAATGGTGGTTCAGTTTGTTTCTATATTTCGAAGGCAACGTGGGCGGACCATTACCTAGGCAATTCAATTGGCCATTCCCGTGGCCAAGGAGGTGGCACCTTAAAAGTCGAGCTAGTTAGTGACAGTCACTGTGCTTTTGTAAAAAACTCATTTAAATTTACTACATGTGATATATAAATAATTGTGTAATTGCCTTAATTGACTAAAACATCTTGCTCTTTATATATACATTTACAAAGTGTTAATTTTGCTGGATGGTGATTTTTTAATCTCTCACTGTTTTCGGAGTCTATCTTGAATTTTTATACATATATTTTATATTAACTATTTTTAAACTAACACTTAGATATTTATCAGAATGTGTATATTGGTAGCGTGCTAAGAGTAAAGTAGATTTTGTCCCATTCAGTGTCGAAGCTGGTTAGTTGTTTTATAATTCAAATGTACTTTCGTTTTTAAATGTTTATGGAATTGTGATATAAGTGCACATATAAATATTACACGTGTTCTTTTTAAAACATTTAAAATGTAAAACGGCGTACGATTTAAAATACTAAACGAATCTCATTCCGATAAATTTACATAAATTATTCTCTACGTAATAAATTATATTCAAGTAATAATGAATTGATTTTTAATTACTTTTAATAGATTTAACGCAATAAATAAAATGCAGGTTTCATCGAAATATATTTCAGATATAAAAATAATTTTGTATGAAATATTAGATTTTTCATTAAGTATAACATTTCGTATTGGCAGAGCCTCCTCAAGTACATATTGTTGGTTTTTTGACTTCCAGAGTCTTTATTTTAGTTTTCAATCGAAGACAATAAACATGATTAGTGCGATATCACGATTTAGGCAACCAATATTACTATTAGAAATATTTACCTCTATTAAATTGGTCCTAATTCATTTTGTACACAAGACCAAAAAAAATAGTGTTCACTTATTTTATTATTTTATAATAATATTTAAAACGCCGAGGTCGTGACCTCTGGGGAATCTAAACCTTATTTGTATTGGTATTAATAAAATAAATGAAGCCTGGTTCGTTCGAAATACATAAAAGTGTAAATAATTTATTAGTTAGTATTATTGCGCATATGGAGTGTAGAGGTAAGGAGAACTATCTCTATTTACAAAAAATATCCCTCAAAATATATAAAATTAAAATGGCGTTACTGTACCAGAGGGATGCCGAAAGTTGTGACAGTCAATAATTCAGATCACACAGACAAATGAAGTATACAGTTATATGGATAACTTACTCATATGTAAATAAAAGGGTATATATGCTCGAAGGGTATAGTCTAAAAACTACATCATGAAAAGGGACTGAGCTTATAATAGTAGAGAAATTTTGATAATAGACAATAGTGCTTTCGTCGTTTGATTTACATATGGATGAGCAATCTATATAACTATTATAAATTATGTATGAGAAATAAAAGAAAAATCAATACTGAATCTACGTTGGATTCTACTTATCTTACGGTACATCTATGTTAAATTTTGTTTTATTGTAATTTACGGTTTTTTAAATAAACATAGATGTATAGTAAAACGAGTGGAACCCAACATAAATTCAGCATTGATTCTTCTTGTATTTCTCATATATATCATTATAATCTGGCGCCTAACATGGGGCGTAAACTGTCTTCTCATGGCTTATTGTGACACAATTCTCAAAAATGTCAATATAATTTAAGTTCCTTTTTGACCGTTCAGAGATCATGGAGAGGAGAGTGGATCGGGCATGTCTATAAGGTGATTTAAATCGATAATAAGATTATTGTGACTGATTCTTTAGTACAAAATCTTTTTTTTTGTTCCTGTGAATATAATTAATATGAAAGAAACTTATACGGTTGTTACTGATAAGTATGATTCGATTTTAAGTACTGGTATGTCACAATGACAACTGACATTGCACTCCGAGAGTAAAAGGAAGTGCGTAGCCCCAACTCACCTACTCCATCCATAATTGTGCATAACACATGACTGAATTGACAGATGGCAGTAAACCTCTGACTATTTATTATAGTACAGTAGATCTGTGAAAAAATTGGTGATAGGTAGAACTAATTTTCACAAAGACTAAGGTTTTAATTTTTTAGTTCGTTGTTGGTATCTTTTTAAAAAAATAATAGTCTAGAAAAATCGTGTGTGGTGTCAAATTGCATAAAATTTTATACTTAAAAAAATTATGATATTTGCTTTACAAAACAGGAATAAATAACAAAATGGTGACCGAAAAACTGAAAGCTTATGCAGTGTTGAAAATCATATTTTTATTAATCAAAATGCCTTTTATAATACAAACTCAAATATATTTCATCAACATAAGATAACATCCAAATCTAGTAATCAGTTTTTTCAGTGCACTTCATTTGTGCAATCTCTACCAGAACAGTTGCAACATATCTCTGTATATTACAAACTATAACGTTGATACATACATCTACCACTACCACATGGCTCATTTGTATACATTTTGCAGGTGCAGCAGATCATGTTTAGTAATGGCTCTGGTTCAGGGCTCATTTAACATGTTATGGGCTTACAGTTGGTCTCTTTATTTTATGTGAAAAAGATGATTTGATAGTAGTGATTTTTTTTTAATTAGAGGTTATATCGTAGTAGGTTCAGAGTCTCTCTCTTTGGTTTTCCACCATATTAATCCTGTGATGCCAATATCTGTGAGTTCCTTTCTATTTGCATTTTCTGTTCCATTCTAGTAGCGCAAATACTATATTCCTCTCATTTCCAAAAATTTTCAATATACTGCCTATAGGGTGATTCAAAAGCAAAAATTTTTTTTTTTTGCAAACAGGCTTAAAAGTTTTTTTTTATCGTAAAAAGATGTCAGTTACAAGTTGAGCCCTTAATATTAATATTAAAGTTGTCCGCATCGTACTTTTCTATTTCTCATAAGAATAACATGGAAAAAATTTTTTTTGCACCTTCTGACTTTTATTGCTGGCCCATGGTGTATCATAGAAAAAAACCATTACTTATTCTTGTAGAAAATTGAACGCTCTTAAGATTTTTTTTTTGAATCACCCTAATACTGCCGATTAACTTTCATCAAATAGTGAGCTTGTGGTATCACATCCAGTTAAAGTAATGTAAAAAGAATAAATTTTGCATCCCTTCTCGCCAAACACATGTTCCATCAATTTAATATCACGTTTTTTTATCATTGAATGTAGACGACTGCAAACAAATTAGGAGATTTTCAATTAGTCGGAATATTTTTTATGTATGTCCAGCTATGATTCTTTACTAAGTTGTCTGATTTCTATGATTCTTTTTTGTCAGAAATGAATGATACCTCAGGGGTGGTCTCAAACATTTGATTAAGATCTGAAGATGGGATCCATTAGAAAATCAAACTCTTCAATTTTGGAGTCGATTTATTAAAATTACTTTTATGATTTTGTGCATATCTGATGCTCTACATAATTTTAACAAATTCAATTGTCTACACTTTACATTGCTTATGCTATTTAGTTGTAACGCATTTTCCAGTTATTTGGCCACGGCAATTTTTGTATAAGTAATGCATCCCTGTGAAGATCAACGATGTTTCCATAGGTAATATGCAATTTAAACTAGTTGTATTTTTTATGGGTGGGCAAAATAATCGATTAGTCAATTTTTTTTAATTCGAATATTTTAGATTGTTCATAGATAATTTTTATATTCGATTAATCGTTGAATAATAATTAATCTAACGATTATTTAATCGAATAATCGATTTTAAAGGAAGTGCAAAAAATATATTTTCTTTCAATTTAATAAAAAATGTGTTGTGATCAATAACTTTCGTTGAAAATTATGTTTTTTTTTTTTTTTTTTTTTGAGGAGCTATTTATAAAGGAAACTCCAATCACACTAGCTTGCGTTTAAAATAAAATAATTAAAGTGTAGTTAATAGCTTCGTTCATGCAGAGCCGCTTAGATCCGTGGTTGGGCCTTGGGGCAAAACACTGGCAAGGGCCCGCCCTCCATATATATATTATAACCTATTTTTTTAAAGCTATCGGACCCCCCGGTGATTTTGCCCCTCCTCTCGTCGAGCCTGCGTTTATGGTAACAATCTTGAATTGATTCAGAACTTCTAATTCATACCTTGAGCGCATGTGCAATTCATTACCACTTCTGAATATTTTTGGATTTACCAATTTTCAATTAATCGAAAATAATCGATTATTTTAAATAATCGATTATTTATTTTGATAATCTGCCAGCCTTAGTTGCAATGTCATCCAAAGTTGACTTCCGATTCTAACTGACGTGTCAACATCGAAATGGTGGCATCAGAATCAGGAGTCCAGCGTAAACTTAACCCATGCAAAAAGATTGAAAAACAAGAAGAAAAAGTCATCCAAAGATCTTGTCAATGAAGATTTGTCACTTTTTCTCAATAACTGAGTTTCTGTATCAAATAGAGACGAAGTAATTATAGATAATTCATAATTATTGAAGTTCTAGTTTATTTTTTTAGATCAGGATTTAGAGCCGGAGATACTAACATTCTCTGTGTGAGAAGATTTTACTCTCTGAGATTTTTCTAGACGTTTAATGTTTGTCATAATAAAAAATTCAAAACTCGTCATTGTGGAAAATAATTCCACTCAAAAACTTATATCTACTGTACTATTAAGTAAAGACGGTACAAATTGTGTTTTAAGATTATCTATGCGGCAAAACAGCAAACAAAGACCAAAAGCATATTAAATGGAGATTAAACTGGCTTTTGTTGGAGATATGTGTGTCATTAATTTAACAAAAATTAATATAAACCTAATTTTACATATTTAGAGATAGAAACTGGCTCCACTCCAAATGTTTAAATATTCGTCATATTCTTAGAAACAAAAAATTAAGTTTGTAGTGTTTTTAACAATTTTTGTTGAGTTAAGCAACGTTGAGGTAAAAAAATGCCGAAACACGTAAGTAGAAACCTGAAAACGTAGATAATTTGATGTTTCGAACCCAAATACACACATTGTATTATTCAGATTTTCTTATACAGTAGCAATATCGGTTGCCTTAACCGTGACGTCAGATTGAAGAAAATATAGGCAGTATAATGTGTAGAAGTTTTTTTCCAGTTTTACTTTCTATGCTTAGTGTTAGACTCTATAGTGAGGACATAAATTGTGCCCTCCTCTTGACTTCTAAATGAGGTGAAATTAGAGAGATTATAATATTTTTATTATAACAAAATGCACTTTACTTTTAGAGTTACGATCTTTAAATTTTCTAATGGAAAGTATGGTCATGTGATACTTCATTTGAAATATATTTTCATTATCTTTACGTCCATGCAGTTTTAGGTTCTTATGTTTTTATAGAAATTACATTAAATAAATGAAATAAGTTACATTCTTGATAACTCGTATTTACTATTATTGTTTATTACTAAGGCTTAAAGACATTGAAATTAAATAAACATACTATTTACTAAAATAAATAAATTAATATCAAAGGCGATCTAAAAACCACTTAACGTATTAAAAAATGTTCTCCCATAACTTCTTGGCAATAAAATAGCATATTAGAAAGTTCTCTTCTAACATTGTATAGCATTTCTAGGCTTATTGAGGTACGCACTTGTGAAATTCGATCCCTTAAATCGTCTATGTAATTTCTGTAAAAATCTAAAACTGCAGTCTTAAAGATAATTAAAATATATTTCAAATGAGGTATCATATGACCCTACTTCCCGTTAGAAAATTTAAAGATAGTAACGCCCTCTCTATTTTACGTCTACAGTAAAGTGCATCTCGTTATAACAAAAATATCATATTTTTAATTTCACCTCGTTTTTGTTTCATGTCTGCATCTTCTTCCATTTAGAAGTAAAAGGGGGGGGCACAATTTACACCTTCGCTGTATATTTTCTTCATTAATAACGATTTTGTAGTCACTAAAATATGTCTTAACATGCTGATAACTGAATAACTTTTTTTCAAAGTTTTGTAGCATAACAACAGTTTCCACAATATTTTTCTTTAAAAAGAAACGAAAACAACCAAAACATTGTTCAAGTTAAAGTAGCAATATTTTGTTGTCTTGAAACTTATTGTATCATAAATAAGGATTGCATCTATATATCATCACGTGGTATATCTTTAAAAAATAGTATTTTGGAGTAGCTTTCTAATAAATTTGTGCTCAAAATTCTGTACCCTGTGGTATTAAAGTAGTAAAAATCAAATTTTAAATACGAAAATTATGTATCGTAAGTATTATTCTCTACAGTTATCATATTTCACATTTTTTGAGCAATTCTCTAAATTTGCGTGAAAATTAGAACTAAACAAAGGGGTCCAAAAAATCGGAATATATGTTTACATTCATCATTCATCTTCAAAGTACTCTCCATTTGATGCAATATACTTACTGAAATGGTTTTTTCACTACTCCAAACAGTTTAGAGCTTCCGCCGGTTTTTCACCTCTTCCACATCTACATTACCCTATAAGGACTTTTTCATCTGGGGAAACAAAACAAAAAATACACGGAGTAAGATCGAGTTAGTACGGGGGATGAGTTTTATCGTAAATCGACATAGTTTAAGATGGAAAGCCATTTGTAAACTTATGTTTTTCTCGGAGGAGCTTCCTTGTAGACTTTTTGTAGCATAACAACAGTTTCCACAACATTTTTCCTTGAAAAGAAACGAAAACAACCAAAACATTGTTCTCTCACAATTCAGCATTGAAACAAAGATTCAGATGGGTATATAGAGTCTATGCCGAACAAAGATAACCTGTAACAGGAGCATACAGAAATTATTTCCGGTTTTTTGGTATCTGCTATAAAATTAAAATCTTAAAATCCTAATTTGGATCGACAAACAACTACTGGACCAATCCTTTCATTCATAGGAAAGTATTTGTTTTCATGCAATTATTCGATTCGAGTTTTATGTTTGTAAACTTGGATATATTAGATATGACCCAGAGCACTACGAGTACAACGGCTGTTACTCCACTGCAAAATAGACCACCTTCCCTTACAATAGTAGTTACAAACAGAAAATACATTAAACCGATAGTATATGGCATTAAGAATGCAAATATGTAATTTTGAAAGCGTTTTGTTAAGAAAATTCCGAATTATAATCACAAAGTACATAGACTCTCCCGTAATAATTTGGCAACTATGTGAATAACAACGCGAATGCTTACAGCTCGCCTTTTGTGAACAAAATTGGTCTAGTAGTTGTTCTTGCGTTAATTTGGAATTAAAATCATTGTTAAATGAATCGCTATTATTTTAAATGAAACCTGTATTCTATGAATTACATTTTGTTGCTAAATCGTTGAATGAGACAAAATATATAATAGTTTTTAAGCTATATTTTATGAAACAAAATTTCTATTTTTTCAGAAAAGCTTCAAATACTGTGTTTTAGGGTTATTTATTTTCACTGTCTTATTTTTTTCTGCTTAGTCTTAAGTGTGCCAACCATGAAATTAGTGCTTAAAATCGATTAGTGATGATTTATTACTTTGAGTTGTTAACGCAAAACAAAGGTACTGTTCTGCATTTTTTTTAAATGGTTTGAGAAATTTCACTTATTGGTCGTAGACATTAAAACTCCTGTATCCAGAGTGACATTCTTTACTCAGTTTTAAGACCAAATGTTCAAATAAACGTAGGTCTGAAAATGTTTAAAAAATTCTGTAAAAGCATGTTCTTTATGCAATAAAAATGTCGACCAAGTTTCAATCTTATAATAATGTCCCGCCTTCTAGTTATTTAGGAAAAACATATTTTTAATTTTTCTACACCCTGTATGTATGTATGAACTTTTTGTCTTACAAAATTGAATAAGGAGTAGCACCTTAAAATTTGGCCACATGCTGGAGTCACGCTGTATATGGTTGATCAGAGTTATACAGGGTTAAACATAAGGACTGGCCAATATTTTGCCTGCAAATTCTATAGCAAAAAATATTAATAATTAGCTTAATAACTGGCCAAATTGAGATAATCAGTAATTTTATACTTCAGTTGTTTTCATACAAAAATAAAATTCGTCGCAATTAGGTTTTTTAACATAAGAAAATCGAATAAACTATCATTTTTTGTGTATTGCATAAAGGGAGCTACCAATTTTTTCTAGTTATCAATAGGCATTAATATTTGATCACCTGTTATTAAACAAAAAAATTATATTTTTTACTACAGAATCTACAGGCAAAATATTACCCATTTCTTATGACTCCCTGTATAAAGAACTCTGTGTGGTAAATTTGTCTTGATATCTTCGATCTTCCAGTGAAATACCTCGATTTTATCTTGTGATCCATAGAATTAATATTCAATTTCAATAAATTCTCATATATGTGGATGAGTTAGTGTATATACTTATTGAATGGTAGGTTTAAACGATACCTAAAAACTCATTTTTTTTTTAATAAGTTTCTCTTAATTACGAATTTACAGAAAACCAGTCGATATTAAAAAAAAAGAAGTAGACATTTTTTCAAACTTGTTTACCGACTATTAATAACACGTTATTAACATAAGATAAAAATAATTAACATTAACCAGTTACGTAAATGGTTAATATTTTTTGATATGTGGACTTTACCTATTTGTTTTGCGAATTATATCGATTATTTAGAAAAAAATATCAATGTTTTTATATTTAAAGTTCCTCTTTATGTTTTATTTCAAAACTTGAAATGGATCGAATATTTGTTATGTTTATTAAACCACGAAGAATCTCAAATTATTTCTTTTATTGGAAATAAAAACATTCGTCTGTTATTTTTAATGATGCAGTTGGAATTTTTATTTTCGAAAAAAACATTGGTTTCGACTTGAAGGTGGAAATACAGCGATGCAACAAGCAAGTTTGATATATACAACACTTTCTTCTAGAAAAGAAGTGCTGCTGATACTTTCCATCTCTTTTACCAACCATACCTTTATTTTTTCGCTAGATCTTCCTTCCTTAACATGTTTACTGGCATGGCGGTCGCTGGTGCAACCACAATCGACTTTAATTTAGTTAATAAAAATACTTTCACAAAAAAAGAGGAATTTATAATCATATGCTACGTTTGAAAATCCACAATCTCTTGAAAATTTGTTTATTCACATCGAAAACATTGCTCCAGCTACATTTGCCTTTGTTTATTTTAAATGTAGCTGTCTATATTACATTTGGAATTGAAATGAGATGTTGATAGTAATTTCAAACTTGTCATTGTTAATTTTATAGATTCGTCTATCGAATTCTATTAACTCCGTTCATTTCTGATGGGTCTTCATGCAAACGGGATACCATTTTGTGAAGAATGAGCTTACACAGTCCTGTGCCTACTATCAAAAGTGTTTAGTAAAGTTGTCACCATTTTCGACAACAGTAATGGTTATTTCGCAGAATATATGTTATCACTATATTATTATTTTTTTGAAACTAAGTTAGTGGCACTGGATATAAACCAACAGGCCAGTCAATTGTCAGGTGAACAAATAAAAATATCATATAACAAACTTTATTATTTTACAAATTACATTAAAGTTGCTTTATCTTAATAACTAAAATAATCTGAAGTTAATATGAATCGGTGAGTGAAAGAACAGTACAAGTGCCAAAAAACGGTAATTTTAACTGAGCTAGGCAAATTGTTTAAAATTCATAGGCCTATCACATAGCGAAAGAATAATACACAGACCAACATCATACGAGCGATGGGGCTTGTTCAATTTTCGGTTGAGTGAAAGAACAGTACAAGTACGGCGCATGTACTGTTTTTTCACTCAGTAGCCATGTCGTTTCGTAGACAAATTTAACACAGATTTCAAAAACTGGTGGTCGCACTTTCATAAAAAACCTCTAAATCAGCTGATGAACAAAAAGCTAATTTTGTCATTCCACAGTACAGCCAGTTTACATACACTGGTAAAACTTCTGGATATGTTACTACAAGTGCCTTCATAGGCGGTTTTCTCTCGCACACTTTTGTGTGTGGGGCGCATTAGACTGATATCAAACCTAATGCCAATCTGCAGTTACCCTTATGGCGGCCATAAGGGTAACGGTCTGTCTGTGCAGGTGTGCCTGCACAGGTAGACATGCACGCTATGACATAAAGCCGACCTGCGCAGGTAGGCTTCTCCGGTAGACCGTTACGTGTATGCTTGCCATTAGAAAAGGCATACTCAGAAGTTGTCCCTATTAACGTAAAGAAGATAGCCAATATAAAGATACTTTTATTCTACTTTAGTGATGAAATCCTAGAGTTTTACTACCATATATTATTTCTTGGAAAGTCAAAAATGAAGATTCTGATTAAAAAATTACAAATAAGTTTGTTAAATAATAATCAATAAAGCTACAAAAAAAAAATTAAAGCATTTTTTTTAAATTGAGTGAAAGAACAGTATAACTGCAACTCATTTTTTTCAAATATTATATTTTGCATAATTTTATTTTTAAATTTATGTACATATTATTATCGGTTCACAAAAATTCTATAACTTCACAATACATAATTAGGCCGAATAACCCATAGTTCTCCTTTAAAATAGTTTTTTTTTTGTTTTTCTCAATATGGTCATTTTGAATATGTAATATGTATTGTTCTTTCACTCACCGATTCATATGGTTTAAATGTGTTGTTTATTTTTTTTAATTTTTTTTCTTTTTTTTTTTTTTTTCTTTTGTCTTTATTTTTTTCTTTCCTTAACAATTTTTTCGAGTCAGGTATACAAATTTTTTTAATGGTAGCATCGTTACTTACATGTTTTATTTTTATTTCCTAATTACAATTTTAATTTGAGTGTTTTGACGAAATTATAGATTTTTTAAATTTATAGGTAACTGAATTTTGTTATTAATTAAGTTTTGGTATAATAAATTAATTTCTAAATCGTTTAGAATACAATCTAAAAATATATGTTGTAAATCAGCAATCTCATCACAAATACACAAATCATTATATATTATACCTATTCGCTTCATATATCAAAAGGATGAAGTTAAGTATAGAGTAGTTAATCTGCTTAATTTATTGATTACTGTGTAATACAAATACAATACAAATTTATCGCTCAGAAATTTCCTTCTTAGATCCAATGAACTTTCACATGTTTCGACTTCCATAACATTTATAGGAGTGTTGGTAAGAATCCTACGCAGAGTCTTAGGCATTTATTTTTAATTTGCTCAATTTTGTGAAGATGTGAGTTTCCTGCTGTATTATAAAAAATTGAATCATAATCTATAATTGGACGAACCAGCATTCTATAAAACATTAGACTAACATTTGGGTCAGAGCCCCAATTATGACAACTAAAAGTTTTTATTATATTTACCGCATTTTGGGTTCTTTTCTGAACATAATTTATATGTGCCTTCCAGTTTAATTTACTGTCTATAATAATGCCTAAAAATTTAAAGAAGGATTTATAAGCCAGGTTATATTTATGTAACTTTATATAATTTGGATGGTTATACCTTTTGCGTGTATAAGTAACTACAGCCGACTTCGATTCAGATATTGTTAAACCGTTTTCATGACTCCAACTATGAATTTTCTCTATAGATTTGAATAGCTGATCATGGCAATAATTAATTTGTTTGTGGCTTGTGTAGATCACTACATCATCTGCGTATTGAAGAATATTTGTAGATCTTGGAATACAATTTTCTATATCAAACGTGTAAAGGGCTTAAAATACTTCCTTGAGGGATCCCAAGGCCCGATTCTCGTGGACAAGATAATTCACCGTTTACTTTTAAAAATAATTTCCTATTGTTATACAAATTATATATATATATATGATTTGAAATAGTTATGGGGATTCCTAACTTACATAATTTTTCACATAAAATATTTAAATTTACATTGTCATAAGCACCTTTTATGTCTAGAAATAAAGCACTTGTAGATTCATTTTTTGATAAGCACAGTTGAATATCTGTTACTATATTTGCTATACTATCCTGAGTTAAAACATTTTTGCGAAATCCAAATTGAGTAGATGAAAGTAAGTTGTTATTTTCTAAATAATATTCCAGTCTGAGTTTTATCATTTTTTCATAAGTCTTAAATATACAAGAAGCAAGAGCAATTTGGTCTATATGATTCAGCTTGATCTGATCTTTTCCCAGGTTTTAGTACAGGGATAATAATGTATTTGTACCATTCTTTAGGAATTATTATTTTTCTTGTCCATATATTATTAAATATGTTGAGAAGAGATAATTTTGCAATCTTTGGTAATTTATTCAGCATAACATAGTGTATTGTATCATGACCCGGTGCTGTATTTTTTGGATTTTTGAGGGCAAGACAAATTTCATGATAAGAAAAGGGTTGGTTTAAATAATCGGTCACTGTTTGTTTTGCAATATGTTCTAATGATGGAGTTCTATGAACATATGGAGGAGTCAAGTTATTATGGAATTCTGTTGACCAGGTCGATTCATTTATGTCTATTTGTACGGTATTATTTATTTTCCTATTTTTATATTTATTTACTTTCTTCCAAATATCTTTCATTAAAGTAGATTTGTTAAGACTGGAGCAATATTGTTTCTAGCTATCCCTTTTTGTTTGTTTGAGTATCCTTTTCGCCAGCGCATCGTTTCTTTTATACTCTAATAAGTTATTTAAATTAGGATTATTTAAATAATTTTGAAAACTAATCTTTCTTGTATCTACTACGAGTTTACAGTTTTCATTCCACCAATGCTTGTTTTTTGGGGAAACATGTATTGATCTATATTTAGGTATGGTTAGTTCTATTATATTTTCTAATTTTTCCATAAATTTCATTAATTATATATTTCATTAATTTCCGTTTCAGAGAATTGTTTCAACGCTTCTATATAAAACATTCCAATCAGCTTTACTAAGATTCCACTTGCGATTTGAGTATGAGTAAGTAATTTCAGGGCTTAGATTTATATTAACAATTGTTGGAAGATGATCTGAACCTTATAAATCATTTAGCGTTGGCCAATTTAATAGATGTGAAATATCTGGAGAACAAATTGTTAAGTTTATAGCTGACTTATATTGGCATGAATGACCAATGAATGTAAGAGAGAGAGTAAATATAATACGCTACAATTATCTAAAGCTTCTAAAAGGTTTTTGCCATAAGAATCTGTATTGGGACCACCAAAAGCGACGTGATGACAATTAAAGTCCCCTACTATTATAGTAGGTTTGGAATATGATTTTAAAAATCTTTCCCACTGAGATACGGAAATTTTTGTCTTAGGGGGGACGTAAAGTGACACCAGATTAAAATTTAAATTATTGCACCTAATTTAAACTGCCTATTGGTTTGTATTCGGAAGGATGGCGTTACTAGATAACTCTATACATAAAATATTCGATGTAATAAGTATGGCAGTTCGTCCACCAGATCGATCTTCTCGATCGTTTCTTAAAATATTATACCCACAAACATTAAAATATTTATCAGATGTGAAACGAGTTTCAGATAAACAGGCAATATTTATCTGTTCATGATTTAACAAATATTGTAGGTTTTCTTTATTTGAGATTGCTGATTTACAATTCCACTGACATATAATTTCATTTGTTCTCGCATTCACTTGTATTTAAATTAAGACTGCTTTTA